CAGTAGTGGCCACTTGATGGTGCTGTTCGAAAACCACACAGCATCTTTGAAGGCTCTGCGCTAACTCATGGCGGTATTGTGCAATGCAGGCAAGACTCTTAAAGGGCCAGCTAAGTGCATGGAGCTCATAACCTCGCCTAACCTGCACATAACATAAATCTCAGAGCATAACAATATTACAGAGTACGACATCATGTTAACATAGCATACCGTAATATAGCTCAGTGTAGACTTTGTACCACATCATAGCATGGCTCAAAACACAGCATGATTAGAGACGCAAACGCACCGTAAGATGTCATACTACACTTTACAATATCAAACCATAATATATTATAACCAGTGACGTACGTTGCATGCTAATAGGAGGCAAAGCCTCTGTTCACTTCTTGCCCCCGTATTTGAACAGGGAATACATATTTCAATGATGGTTTGAACAGGAAATCAATGTAAAGCATGAACCATAGAACTAAAATGGAACATAATTTCATGTCATTTTGGGTTTGTTTTTTTTTTTGTTTGTATGTTTGTTTTAAACTCGTCACATGCAGAGAACAGTCAGTGGGGGGCAACACTGCCTCACTTGCCTACCCTGACCGCACGTCCCTGATTTTACTTACTGTATCTTACCATACCTAACTTTTAAAAATTATGTTAGGGGGTGAAACTTGTCTCATCAAAATGTGAAATTGATCATGTTTGTATTTACGTGTTTATATATTGAACTTTTTTTTTGTGGTGTGACAGCAACACGCTTCCGTAGTGTCCATGCTGTATTATACTATTCATCCATTTTCTGATCTGCTTATCCTCACAAGGGTCGCGGGGCGGGCTGAAGCCTATCCCAGCTGTCTTTAGGCAGTTGGCGGGGTACACCCTCAACTGGTAGCCCGCCAATCACAGGGCACGAACAACCATACGCGTTGTATCATACTATACCATAAAATATTAATAAATTAAATGGGGTCTACACTTCCACATTTTTGGGGGTTAAAGTTGTTTACTGGTAATTATTTTTTGCTTGTGCTGACAATAATAAAGTTCACAAACGTCATTTGTGTTCTGACGTGTTTCCTGGGCATTGTTTGGACTTCTTAATGACCAACACAGTGAGATATTCAAAAGGTGATATATTCCTTTGTCACTTTATTTGGTATACCTTGACAATTTTAATTGACACTGCGATATGCATCGAACGCTAACTTTATGACAGCAGTTTGCAGTGGTGCCGAACTGACATCATCACTGAACATCAAACTCGAAGAGTTTCTGTTTCTCATATTTGAGTTGTGTTACATATGAGAAATGTGACAAACATGCCTCAGTGTGATGCAGTGCAGATCCTTCACCACATCAAACAAAAAAGTTTGATGGCAACAGTTTAGCAGTAGAACAATAAACAACACGATAGTGCATTGAGTTGTGGTTTTTGACTTTAAGTGAGCCCGTGCGCAGTTAGTCGTCTGTGCCGTGTGGACATTTGAGACAAAATGGCCACGGGGCAACAAAACAGAGACAACCCATCCAGCTTATGTAAATACCAGTCTGCCTCAGTTTCCACTGAATCTTAATGCTCTGATCTGAAATGCTAATTGAAACATGGAAAAGCTGCATGATGTTGATCCCTCTCGCTCTGTGACCGTTGCGGCAGACAGGAAGTTGAGGACAACACGGTGGTACATAACGGGAATTAAAAGGGAGGCCTGGTGTGGCTTTTGAATGGTTCTGGTTCTAATTTGTTCCACTGACTCTGGAGCAACGTGATTCCACGAGCGGGATAAACAAGCAATTCTGCCAAATGTGTTTTAAAACAAGTTCTGGAAACTTTTAGTGTACAAACAGTAAGTCTCATTCACCCACTTTGATGAAGTCCTACGAATTCAGAAGACTTCAGTTGTAGTAGCATGCTTGTTGCCTTATCATCAGACTGGAAAAGTAAGCATGAAGTCACGCTGCTGGAGTTTCACGCTCGTGTCATAAAATATCGAGGAAATGGATCGCAGTTAACGAATAACGAACACTGAGTAACCACACCAAACGTAATCGTTAAATTGATTGCGCACTTTGCTGATCCATCCATAGATACATTATGGATGGTTCTTTGTTCATGGCAAAGAGCAGTATGAATGTTGTACGACAAATGGGTGCCACTTATGCCAATTAGCATCCACCCTGCCTCATGGGGATAAATAACATTTTCCGAATCTGAAACCTCCAGGCTTTTCTCGTGGTAAACCGTATGCAGAAATGGGGAAAAAAAAGTTCACTTCAAACGCTTTCATCTGCAACCTTGCTTCTTATTTTGAGTTGTAAGACAACCAGGTTGAGGAGAAATGTATTCTGAAATAGTTACTCATCACCTGTTAACGTAGATGTAGTCTGTAACCTAATCGAAGAAGAGTAACATGAAAGTAATGTAACTTAATTACTTTTGGATTACTAATATGCTAAAAAATGTTATATATCGAGAAATTGTATTTTCTGTCTTATAAATTTCTCCAAAAGTATTGGAACGGCAAGTCAAGAATAATAATAATAATACATTTTATTTATACGCGCCTTTCACAACACACATGGACACTTTAATGCATTTGTTTTTGTTGTACGGACACTGAAGATATTTGGGTTTGAGGTCAAAGATGAATATGGGACAACAGTTGAGAAGTCCAAATGTTATTTAATTTGCATCGAGATGTGTTGAATAACTCAGTAGAGAGCATCTTTTGTCCGAAGCCACCCACTTTTCAAGTGAGCAAAAGTTTCGCTACAGATATGGTTAAATGAACTAAAAGTGAATAACATTTGCTATTTGGTAGCGTAACCCTTACTTGCAATTACTGCATCAAACGTGAAACTCACAGACTTCACCAGATTGTTGCATTCTTCATTTGAAATGCTTTTCCAGGCTTTTCCTGCAGCCTATATCAGTTCTTTTTTTTTTGTTTCTGGGGATTTCTCCCTATTGTTTGCTCTTCAGGGGGCAAATGCATGCTCTATTGTGTGAAGGTCTGGTGATTGACTTGGCCAGTCTAGGAGCTTATATATATATATATATATATATATATATATATATTATAGAGAGAGAGAGAGAGAGAGAGAGAGAGAGAGAGAGAGAGAGAGAGAAACTCAGTGTTTCCTTACTGAAAAAAGCTTGGCTAACTGTTAGCTTAATTTGCAGTATGAAACTCTCCTTGTCATTTTAACAATCGGGCCTTTTCAGATTTGGATAAAAACGAGAGGAAAGCTCAGTTTTGTCAGGATTAGTGTGTGGCAATTTTCTGCAGAATGTATTGGTGGATGTGACACTTAAATTGTGAGGTGGACATCCGTGTATTTAACGGACACGCATGCTGTGTACCTCCACCGACTCAACACCACATTGCGCTACATTGCTACTTGCTCCCGCCCACCCGGCATCCACTTCCCTTTCAGCCTGTCTTGCCGACTATTTTCCATAATGCCTCACAGATTTTACACTCAATCCACCTTTGCGATGACAAGGCTTTGAGGAAATCCAATTCCACCGAGCCATTTTCAGAACTTAACTCTCCACGGGCATCCTCCTTGCTCTCCAACTCACACACCACGCAGGCAGCAGCATCATCCCCACAAATTAGTCAGGGAGCAAATTACCTGCATTCTGAGTGTGATCCCACGCACTTTGCCGGCTGCCTTACACAGGTCGCCTTTTGAAGAGCAGCCATGTGATTTCTCTCTGCCTCTCTCTCATTTGCCCCGCAGCTCCCCTCTGCCTTCTGCGAGGGAACCTAGAGTTGAATTTTAAAACTTGCCGCCTGCCTGCTTATCAGCGCGTGCACAAATGGCATGCAAATCAGACCGGGATCATACAGCACATTGCAGGCCCGCACTCAAAGGCAAGCTTAATTGCTAATTGGGTAGTCTTAGGTGTGAAACTCACACTGCCAGCAAGACGCGCCAGTGTGCATGTTTTAAGGCCACTGTTTGAACTAATTAATTTCAATCGGAGTGTTGTTAAAATTGGTCTACCTCCACATGCCTCGCCACCCCTCTACATTTTCAGTACGACAGACCAGGAGACTTATAAGTGGACCTGAACAAATCATCAAATTCAAATTGACAACGACATGCCTTAGAAGGCCTTTTTTCGAATTGCCAAGGCTGCCATTTTGGAGAAAAAAAACTGCTTCCTGCTGGTTAGACGCGAGGCTATATTTTTATATTATTGATATATTAGATTTTATTTAGATTATGGTTTTGTTAAACTTAAAACATTGAAGTGATAAAGCCACAGTTGCGATCTCCTGTTGTTCCTTATTTTTATTATGACAACAATTAAGCTCCTCTGAAGGCGAAAAGGTGATCAAGATGTTCATTTGGGGTCTTTCTGTGTTTGGGTTCAGCAAGACGTTTAGGTTACAATGGAATAGTTTTGATCAATGGCATGGGATTTCTCACTCCAGCATCCACCCACGTTCCCAAAACATGCATGTTAGGTGAACGTGAAATTTTAATCTAACATAGCAGAGGGTGCATTTGGGACCCCGGGCAGTTGGAATGGCAAATATATTTTGTATGATATATTTGAACTCTCTTCCAACTTTTAGTGTACCTCAGTTAAATGTTGTTCGAATGGGTTTCTAAGACAGTTTTCCACGCTTCCGTCACGTGCAACCGATCATTAAGTACTTCTTTCAAGTGTGACAGATGTTGCCAATGGGGAGCTGAGCACCATCCATGCTATTGTAACTCCTCTGGTCCACATTCCTGTGCTCAGTCAATTCTACACTGGCCTGTAAATGGGGGGCTGAAAACATTCAACTATCCTTCCATCCCAAGTGACAAAGTAATAGTGTGTGTGTGTGTGTGTGTGTGTGTGTGTGTGTGTGTGTGTGTACACGTCCACTAATGCTAAGTTGCAGTAGCTAGTATTAACTTGCTGGTAGCCTCGCAGAATGCAAAAATAAATTGTGCAAAAAACTGACGTGGAAAATATTTGTGTCATTCTTTTTCATGTTTTTGATGCAGACCAGTGTTATGTATGTAATTGTCAAATGACCATCCCTAATTTATCAGCGTCCACGTTTCCAGTGCGTCTTTGAATGTTCTGAACTCCTGCTTCGAATGCAAGCTTCTCTAGTTGTGGTTGTTCATCCCTACGTTCTGCGCGCGCGGCAATGTTAGTGGAGCATCATCATGAGGAGGGGCACAAGAAAAAAAAAGAGGGTGCACGGGTCAGCCATACAAGAAGAAGGTGGGTGGGTGCGGGGGGTTCAGACCCGTTATCGTAAAATGGGAAGGGGTTAAAAAAATAGAAGCGAGTGTAGAAACAGGATTGGTTTGCCCGTGAAAATGCGACACTCGTACCTGCCGCCGCTGAAAGAGCGACAGCCTAGAAGAGCCGCGGGCGTTGCGATGCTAATGTTGTCGGGGGCTTTGACTTCTCCCAGCCATTGCGAGCGAGCTGCTCCGCCTGACAGCCACGCTCTCCCCGCGCGTCCTCCTCCTCGCATTCGAGCTGACGGAAAAGACGCGAACGGACGAAAGAAGACAACCAATCAAACCTCGCGACAGCAAACAAAACAGCATAACAAAAAATGGACGAGACGGATATCATGGACCTGACGCATCAGAAGGCGAGGAAGCGGCCGCGGCCAATCACCTCCGCGGACGAGGCGGCGGCGCACGCTCCACTCAAACGAGCGCCGATGCGGGCGGCCGAGTGTCGGGAGACGTCGCTCATGTACGCCGTGCGCGGGGAGCCGCTGCCCGCCGCCTCGTTAAAGCAGAATGACCACTCGGTGACCTCCTCGCCCACCAGCGTCATGCCGGCGCAGGTAAATGTCGCTTTTCTCTCGGGATGGGGGGGTCGCGAGTCAAAAATTCGCTTGTTTCCTGGGAGGGAGGGGTGGAGGTGGGGGTGTTTTACGGATGAGGCGTATGGCTCGTTTGTTTTACGGCAATCTATCGCTGTAAAGCCGTATTACCGCGACTTTTCAACTTTTTTTGGTAATATTCAGTGTGCCACTAATGGTGTTTTTAGGTTAAGAGGCGGCAATCTTATTACATGCTCAGACAGTAATTTCACCCCCCCCCCTCCCCACCCCCAACCCTAATAAAAACATTAATTTGGTCGTTGGCCTGCAGCGGTTGAGTGCTTGTGGATACTGGCAACATTCAGGTCAAGGTCGATCTGAGAACTTATTTCATTGTTTTATTTTTGCACATTAATGGATGACGTGCAGCCCAGCTGCCGTAGCATGCCTGCCTCGCATTGGAAAGGTTATGGGTTTGAATTTTTACTCAGGTGTTTGCTTGAATGAATGAAGATACTTTACACAAGTCGGTGTGGACCGCAGCGAGTAGTCAGCAGCATTGTGCGGAGCCAAAAAGTACATTTTTTAAAAAACGGCATAGTTTTGCTAGGCAGCGCAGGGGATTTGTGGTTAGCAGGTTTGCCACGCATTGAAGATGTTCTGGGTTTGAATTGCGACTCAGGATTTTGCACCAATCAATGGACACCAGACAATAGACATCTGAATGCGATCCGCACTAATTATAGCAAAAAGAAGAGGGTGTGGTGAGGTCGTGGGCAGCACATCTGTCAAACATTTGAGAGGTTCTGGGTTTGAATCTCGGTTTTGGCCTTCCCGTGTACAAGAGTTCGCGAGATTGAACTCATACTACACTATAGACACGGCATTATCAACAATATTTTTTAAAGCAAAAAGTACATCTTAAAAAAGGCATGCTGGTTACGGGCAGTACGATCCACCTGCTCTGAGATTCTGGGTTTGAATCTCCTTCCTGTGTGGTGTTTGTATGAAAAAATAGATAGTGAAATAAATGTGAATCGCAGCCAATATAGTCAGCCGCATTTTATGTTCAACAGCAAAAAGTAAATCATTTGTACTTTTTTAAATTTTATTTTCAGCACAATACACTCGTGTCTAGCACATCTGCCTTATAGTTTTGAGGTTCTGGCTTTGAATCTCAGTTCCCACCTTCATGTCCTGAGTTTATTTAGGCGACATCTCACCCTTGACCCTTGTGAGGAGCGCAACAGAAAACGGATGGCAAAACGAATAAACAGCAAGTGGCCTGTGTTTTAACAGGACAATCGCTCCAGCATGTCCCGGCCCATGATCACTCGCTCGCCGGTGTCCCCGTTGAGCAACCAGGGCATCCCCACACCGGCACAGCTCACCAAGTCCAACGCTCCGGTGCACATCGACGTGGGCGGACACATGTACACCAGCAGCCTGGCCACACTCACCAAATTCCCTGAATCCCGGTGAGTTTTCCAATGTTGTTTGATTTGGAGACGAACATGGAAAGTGCACTACTTGGCTGCAACCATCTGAGGCGCTGTTTCAACTCAACTACTTTTCTGTCTAAAGAAGGACAAGATGACGTGTGGAGACAGGAGCTTGGAACATTCAGAAAAAAAATGTCGTCCACTCTCATTAGAATTGATGGAATTAATTAATTTTCAACTGTCAACTTCGTATTCAGACTACTTTCCTGCAGATATCGTGTAATATGGCATGAGTTGTGCTACAATAATAATTAAGGTCCAATTGATGAACCGACCAGCCGATATAGCTCTTTTAAAATCTGAAAAACTGAATTTTGCTTTGGCCTTTTTCTTTTACACAATGCAATACAACATAAGAAAAAATGACAACATTCAGAAACAGCCCCCTTCAACCCAGCAAAAATAATTGGTTTACTTTTGACCGTTGCTCTCACTGTCCTGAAGAACAAAGTATTTCAAAACAATCAAATGTTCTGCTAGTAATTAATATATCTTCACTGAACGGACCAATAAGGACGTTTTTTTTAATATATGGTTTTCAATTAATCGGTGATCAGAATTTTACTCTGCCAAATATCAGAATTGTCACGGGCCTCAGAAAATCGACACTGACAAACCTTTATTTGATTAAGAAAGTTAGCTGTGAGAAATTGGCTCCGCAAGACTGTGTTATTCTGCTTTGTACAAAGTTGGCAGAAACAGGTGTTTAGAAAATTCCGATGAACATTTAAAGACAAAAAACGATTACTTGTGCGCTACTTTTTCCCCAATCGATGATCAAGAACGTTTAGGCCCAAATGACCGTCCCCAGTTTATTTCAATTGAATTTAATTTTCAGTGCATCTCATGCTGTCTTGTTTACTGTATAATGTCTAAGTTAGATAACTGAATATTTTTAATGAGATTTCAAGAGCCTTGAATTGTTCGTAACTCCTGTTTCCCTGCAGCCAATGTCTGCCCCACCCCATTTTACTTCCAGTGTTTCAAGACACATCAACAATTAATTCCACACAACTAAAAGAATTCTAATTTTTGTATTATTTATGAATCATTGTATACTTCTTGTTGTCACTGCCCGGGGTTAATGCTTGTGGTGTTACTTTTGTGCAAGATGGGCATCTGTGCATGTGTCCCGTCAGCGTAAACACAGCCAAATGGGATGGATGTCACTTGAAATGTACGTGGAAATAGACTGATTTCAGCATTAAATCAAAATTGGACACTTGTACCTGCAGTTGAAAATCCGGTGGAAGATGTTGAACGCAGCATGCAGGGTGCAGACAAAGACAACGTGCTTATTTGGACAGATGCCACAGCAGCAGTAAAAAAAGGCCAAAGGGCACGGGGCCATCTGGAGGCTGGGAGGTCGCTGTGGGCGACGCGCCTGAGGGAAAGTAGCAGCACGCCTCGGGCAGAGCACAACCAGCTGGCCCTGACCTCTCACAATTTTTTTCTTTTGCTTCATTACTCTGCTACTACTGACTATGTCATGCCTCTGCACAGTGTAGTGAATGTTGTGCATTAAAGGAGACTTTTTTTTCCCCCACCTTTTAAAATTGTCCCCAGGTGTTATAATAGCATGTCGGTGACCTGCCTTTGCCAAAATACTCAGAGCATTAAGAAATATAGCATACGTAACCCTGGAGTATTAACATCTTTTTAAAGTATTTTTTTGCTTAAAAAAACTCACAAAGTCTGATTATTTAAGACAGCTCCACAAACGTCTGCTTATCGTTTATATTTCGTGTCAACTTTCAGAAGCAGAAAATAATCATGCAATAATTACTGCCACAACGAAAACAATAATTAAAACAAAAATAATTGCCATGAATGAACTCAACGTCTTTCCGTGGCCTTAGCTGCCCAAGAAGGTGCTTTACATAAAATACACAAAGCCGAAATTCAGCAATAACAATAAGAGAGTGACTCACTCTGTCTGCATTTTACTGCCTGAGATATTTCTGTCTGATATCTTCATCACAAACGTAGGCAGACCTTGATGTGAAAAGAAAACAATAACCGCTATCAAAGCCACAATTTGGATCCATCTTCCCGAGGACCTGTAGCTGTCCAGTAAGATGCCTGATGTAAAATACACACATTTCAGCACCACACAATGCAGAAATGTTAACACCCATACAAGGGGCATAACATGTATTGGCCGACATCATTTTGAAGCGACAACTCTGTTCTGTTGTAATGCTGAATTCCAACTTAGGGGGTGCCAATAGTTACATACCAGAGCTTTAAAAGCCTCCATATTTCTTGTCTTGCTGAAATTGGTCTCATTCAAGTTAGCGACGACTCCGCCCCATGAGACTGCTGGGCCAATTGCGAGACTTTTGTAACCTTACAACTGGGGAGGGATCCTGAGTCTTGTCACTAGACGGTTTTCTTCTTGTGGGAGCAAAGCCCGTGCAGTGGGATAACCATGCGCCCATAAAGACAATTAAATGCGAATTTGCTTGCAGATTACATGTATGTGCTACTTAGCAAAAGCTAACACTGTTAGCTAACGCTAAAACCGCTTGTGCAACCAAGAAAACTCAATGCCGTTTTGCTTTCCTCTTGACAATTTGTGTGTATATGACAGTGTAGTCTGGCGGTTGCTTGAAAGTAACTCTGGATCTTCACCCAGCTTAATTATGTCTTGGGCACAGAAACACAGGTTGGGACCGTGATGAAAATTTGAAGTCAGAAGTTTGTAACAGCTTGCTTGCAGACACAATTTCAGAAATCGGCAGATACCAAAGGATTTACTTGGTCGTTTGATTTCACACTTAATTAGAGCCAATCATTTGCGTACAAGCCACTACAAGCCAATTTCCCAGAATACGAATGTCCCCTTTACATGCCATCATAACTGCATGCAAAGCTAAAGAAGCTGTTTCTGTTGAGATGCTGACACTCGCTTTGCCTCCCACATGTCTCCTGTCACTGCACAGAATCGGCCGCCTCTTTGATGGCACTGAGCCCATAGTGCTGGACAGCCTGAAGCAGCACTACTTCATTGACAGGGACGGACACATGTTCCGCTACATCCTCAACTTCCTCAGGACGTCCAAGCTGCTCATCCCAGACGACTTCAAAGTAAGCCGAGAGAAAATCTCATCGGCCACTCAGCGCTTCTGCAAGTCGGCATGCACAATAACACGCGCCTTTGGGTGATGATACCATGTTCGAATTGCGGCAAACATCGGAGGTCTTCCAAGTTAGGGTCCCACTGGCCAAAAAGATGAACGATAGCCAAGGAGGGAAACAAAACAATTCGTCATTGTGCCAAGGGTGAATTACACTACATGTGACCCATCAATGCTCCTACCATTTAACTCTTGTGTATCCATTCAGGCCGTAATTACTTGCCTTGCCCCTGGGGAGAAAGTAAAGACGCACATCATTTGATAGATTATCCACACTGAGGCTCCATCAATGGAAAGTATGTCAGCTAAAATAAGCAAAGACAAAAGACAGGCCCAAGTCAAGCAGCATCGAGAACTCAAATGCACTGCCTTGAAGGCGCGGCGGTGCTCTCTGCTGAAGCAGCGCCCATGCAACCCTGTCAACTTTTGTCTTATACATTACTGTTACGTTAAAATGTATAGGCTTTGAAATGTAAAAAGCTGCGCCACTTTCACCACACTTTTGTAAAAACGTATATAAATGTAGAAATTCTCAAGTGGGATTTTTGTTTTCATAGTGATTCACATTTTCAAACATACTTTTTCAAGATTAAAAATCCAGCCTTCCTGTGTGGAGTTTGCATGTTCTCCCCGTGCCTGCGTGGGTTTTCTCCGGGTACTCCAAAAACATGCATGACAGGCTGATTGAACACTCTAAATTGTCCCTAGGTGTGAGTGTGAGCGCGGATGGTTGTTGTTCGTCTCTGTGTGCCCTGTGATTGGCTGGCAACCGGTTCAGGGTGTCCCCCGCCTACTGGGATAGCCTCCGGCATGCCCTTTGTGAGGATAAAGCGGTTCAGAAAATGGATGGATGGTTGGATAATAAAGTAAAATATAATCCTGCTTATTAACGGCTACCACGTAAACTTGTCTATGAGCATTGATCAACATGAGTGACATTGGAACCAATCAGTGGTGCTGCTATAATGGTTGACACATAAGACCACCCAACGATAGCATGGACGGTGACAGAAAAGCGGTACACATGCTACAGTCTGTGCAGCAGACACGGACGGAGAGACAGAAACCCAAATGCCGGCAGTGTGGAAAAATTACACGCTGACTCCAGAACGATACATTCGACATCACCGCCATCACTGGAATTACTTTTGTAACATATCGCTCTGAAGATTGCTCATCTGTATTGCTTACTCAAAAGTTTCACAGATAAGCTTAATAAATATAAACAGCCTAGCTATTCATGCTAAACAGAGTGTTGTCCCGGGATGACATGAAATAACAATCACTCACTTGTCTTGGGGTACTAATGTGCCTCATGTGCTTGTCCCCCGCAGGACTACAGCCTGCTGTACGAGGAGGCCAGATACTTCCAGCTGCAGCCCATGCTGTCCGAGCTGGAGCACTGGCGCCAGGACCAGGAACTGGGTCGTGTGTCGCGCCCCTGCGAGTGCGTGGTGGTGCGCGTGGCGCCCGACCTTGGCGAGAGGATCACGCTGAGCGGCGACAAGGCGCTGATCGAGGACGTCTTTCCCGAGATCGGCGACGTCATGTGCAACTCGGTCAACGCCGGCTGGAACCACGACTCCACGCACGTCATCCGTTTCCCGCTCAACGGGTACTGCCACCTCAACTCTGTGCAGGTAAGAAGAACACGTTGCTTACATCGCAGCGACAAAGCCATAATACTTGCCGTTTTCATTTCACTGTTTTATATTGATGGTCTTGGAGTGTTCTCCCAATAAATATTGACTGTATTTATGACTTTACTTGTACACGTAAAGACAATTGGGCTGTTTTTGTCCCAATTTTGCCACTTCCTGACCAAGGTCTTCAAACACCCGCAATATTACGCCATAGAAGATTGTCCTATAAGATGATAAGATTAAAGTGAGTTCAGGGTCCAAAATGAGTCAGGCAGACAACCGTAAACATGTTCAATATAACGACGAAGATTTTTGTGTGTGAGAAAAGCTACTTTCGAGTCACTCGACTCCACATACAGTAAGTGCCATGATTGACGAACAAGGAAATTTATGGTCAAACTAAAAATAACACAAAGAAAATTACACAATGTGTATTGAAATCATCATTTTGCCATCCGCTGGTTGAATGCTCACAACCTGTACAGAGCAAAACGGCATAGATGGGCTAATGAATAGCATCGATAGTTGATGCTCCGTTAACCCTTTCATCAACGGATGTTTGAACACAAACTGACAATCTACGCCGACAAAAAAGAAAAAACAATTTAGCAAGTACATTTTTTTAATTGATATTGTGACAGTAAGCCAAAAATGACGATCAGGCTCATGATATTGTTTATCCTCTATCAAAAAAAAAAAACACATATGACAGCAGTCACTTCAAATAGTTGTGAAAGTCTTCGTTTGTGTCTTCATGACTGTTCTCCCCAGTGGCATTGTTGTACTCGCCACTTTTGAACTATGTATGTTTAATTTAAATATGTTATTTAAAAAAAAAAAGTTATCTTCACAGCATACAAGAACGGCTAACGGATGTTCGCAAAACATTAATCGGCTGCCGTCCTTTCACTTCTGCTGCGCCTCAATAACCAGCGAAATGTCACAGAGCAAAGGGGTGATGCAGGAGCCTCCGCCCATCAACGGTGTAAGATAATTGGCAAAAAAATATATGTATATCTTGTCATATGATTTGAAAAAGTGCATTTCTACATATTTACAGAATGATCAAACCAATTACGCCTCCCAACTTTTGCTTTGGGCCAATCTGACATAATTCTAACGCATCATCACATAAATGTGACGTCCACACTTAAATATATATTTTTTTACGTTTTTTTTTTTACAAATTCTGTTATCTGTCGAGAACAAATGGCACATATTTGGGGAGGGGGGAATTTTCTTAAAGTCACTTGCTTACAGTAGTTTAATTAGTTTAGTTTTACAAATGGGGGGGGGGGTCCTTGTCCTTGCCCTTGCTCTTATCATAGGTCTCAAACTCCAGTCCTTGAGTGCATGTTTGAGAAGTTTCTGTCCTTTACACTCAAAATGATCCATTATTAGTATAAATGACTTGTTTTCCTACATGTACCCTGCAGTAGTCTAGCAACCGGTCCAGGGTGTACCTCACTTCGTGCCCAAAGTCAGCTGGGATAGGCTCCAGCTCAACCGTGCCCAGAATGAGAACAAGCTCTGCAGAAAATGGACGGACAACTTTGGTGGAGGCCGACATGACAGTGAGCAGTCAGTCTGTTAGAAAAAAAAAAAAAGCTTTTTAGCTGCTTAAATTCTCAGTTCTCATCTTATACATTATTGAAGGAGTGGAGGCATATTTGAATAGATTTGGCATTGATCTGGACCGTCTGAACCCCCCCAATAAAAACAACAAAAACGTCTCTGAAGTGAGTGCAAGAGAGAAACTGAGCGTGCTCCCTGGCAGCTTGTCCCCAGGCACGGCCCATAATCCTGTTTGGTTATTAAAGCATGCCGGCGGTGGATGCTGTATCTGCGGCTAATGGAGGCAGGGAGAGCTGGGAGGGGGGTGGAGTGAAGGAAAGGAGGGAGGCGGGGCAGCCAGCAGGATGGGGGACCTTTGTAGTTTCGGCGGAGGATTGGGCCTCGGGGCTCGGGGCAGAAAGGGGGAAAACGGATTGGGGGTGGGTTGAGCAGCCCACACTGAGCCAAGTGCTGGAGGAGAGAAAGCCACACTGCTCCCTGGGGCCTCTTCGATGGAATGTGATCCTACAGGCCCCCAGGAAACGTCTGTGGATGTCTGCGAGGCAGCTCGCTCATCAACCACATATGCAGACCAACGCAAACACACAACAAGCACCAACACACACACACGAGACAATAATGGACGCCAATACCAGGCAGAGACATTGATTAAAGTCTTCTTGATATTTCAGTTGGGGTTTTTTTTTTTGTGTTGCTCGATTGCAATGGCACTCAAAAAAAAAAAAGTTATCGTTGGATAACACTGGGATAAACTGTGGTATGAAACACTATTCACAGTCAGTTATTAATGGAAGTGGACTGTTTTGTTGACTGGTTAACTGGTTTGTGATCCATGTGAACAGGAGATGAGCTCCGGGAAGTTGAGTTCCATCCATGCTATGCTAACCTCAAGAAGATATATTCATACTCGGGGTTTTTTTGCTTCTCACGCATCATGGATCACATGGAATTGCTGCACTTTTTTTAATGTTAGACCTGCTCACTCACTAATTAATCTGTCAAATCTATTTTTTTTTTCAAACAACTGATGAATCCGATTTTTAAAAAAAACAAGCGATCCAAATTTCCATCCCTTTATTACTTTTATTATATAAAAAATGACATTCTTTAAAATTGACAGTGCAAAAAAAAAATGCACATTTATTATCATTCGGTTAATGGTTTGGAAAGGGGGCGGAGGCACTCCACAGCACATGCACAGGCTGGACTTGATTTGGATGCAGGCTGCAAAGTACAAGCTGCGGGTGATTGTTTTATTTGTTTATTTTTTTTGATGAACCTACGCCAATCACATACTTTTTCCACATAAATCGGACCAAATGCAGGTTTTAAACGAATTCCATTGGAGCAAACTCGGTGGGGGCCATCACGGTGTCCCTAACAGTTAGCACGTCTGCCTCACGGTTCTGCGGTTCGGCACTATGTGGAGTTTGTCTGTGGGTTCTTTCAAAGACGTCCAACCTCACCGAGGACTTCAAATTGTTCGTTGGTGTGTGAGTGCTCGTTTTTCTATGTGTTCCCAGCGATTCAAGAATTCATCCCATTTCACAGCTACAATTGGCTCTGCTCTCCGCAACCGTGCACATATTTCAGCTGACCTCGCACATGATGCAAATAAAAAAAGCACCCACGCTTTTCTTTTTTTTTTTTTTTTGTCTGCCTCAATTAACTTCTGACATCCTCTGCCTTCTTTCAGGTTCTGGAGCGCCTGCAGCAGCGAGGCTTCGAGATTGCCGGCTCCTGCGGCGGCGGCGTGGACTCGTCCCAGTTCAGCGAGTACGTTCTGCGGCGGGAACTGAGGAGGACGGCTCAGCGAGGAGGACCAAATTCCAACAGGATAAAGCAAGAGCAGCTAGACTAAAGACTGCTGGACTTTTCCAAGCATTGGACTCCTCACATTTTCTCCACTTGTGTTATTTTGTTGATGTTTTTGTTTTCTTATAAAATCATCTAGAGAATTAAAAAAAAAAAAAAAAAGAGGTGCATCTGCTGTGGGAAGATTTGCGACATCTGAATTAGAGATTGCGAGGACATTTGTGATTGTCTCACCCCATAAAACACGACTGAGAAAGATTTATATATGTTGTATCCCTAAATAAAGTTTGTTTTAAAACTTTAAGCCTACATTAGGTTGAATATGAGTTGAAATCAGCAGCACGTCAGCGTCGCCGATGGTTCAGGCTCTCACGTGTTTGCATGTTCTCCCCGTGCTTGCATGGGCTAATTGAAGATGCTAAATTGTCCAGAGGTGTGAATGTTTGTTTGTCTATGTGCCCCTTGCGATTAACTGCAACAACCAGTCCATGGTGTATCCCACTTCTTTCACCAAAAGTCAGTCTCGATTAATTGCAGACTCAAAAGCCGGTGTCGCCGTCATTGTTAGCCCTCCAGGACCACTTGAGTAGCCTGCAGGCCTGTCCTTCAAATAGCACACGCATACTTCCATTTTCGTATATGCGCGTTACTATTCTAAAAATAATTAGCGCTACTTACCAGTAAGCTTTTAATAGGTCAAAGGTCAGCAACGTAGCGCACGACCAAACAATAGCGTTGGTGCAGAGAAGTTAGCCAGCGAACCGACAATGAGGAAATGAATCATTACCTAATGACACTGATCATCAGCAAATTCAAATCAGAGACGCATTTACGTCCCCAAATTGATTTTTTTTTACAAAAATGCTATTGTCATTTTTTGGTTTTTACGTTTGATTGATAAAAACCTGTGCAGTATGGATTTTACCATGCGTTGAAATTTATAGTTGTGAGGTTTCAGGAAAAAAAAAATGGCACCTTTTGCTGAACCTAACGCTTAATTCATAAATATTACTTGAATTTTACTCTTAATATGTACATATTATTGTTATTAAAACCTTATGTGCTAGTGAAGAAAAAAACAAGGGCAGATTCAGAATCAACACAAAAAAATTCATCTTGAAAAGTTTGCATTTCTGATTAAAAAAAAAAAACTATTGACCAAATACAACTTGAGCAAATTTATTTCGGGAGTGCGTATCAAACCGATATAGCCCTTGGCATTCAGCAGAACATGAGAAGGAGCTGTCAGTTTCAAAAAGGTTGGTGACCCCTGCTCAAAAGTGTCCGTAGGTGTCAAAAGTTGTTTTTTTTTTGTTTTGTTTATTTGTTTATGTCAACTCTATTTGTCCCCTTGTGTTTGAATGACGACCAGTCAAGGGTGTACCTTGCTTCTGCCAAAAGTCATCTTTGGTTCATCTTAAGACTCAAAATTGTCCATAGGGTGAGTGAGAGTGAATATTTTTTTTTTTCTCCACTACCGTACTGTGGGTCTGGATAGGGACTGGCCACCCTGCAAATGCATTGAAGGGAACAAAAAAAAAAAAAAACAGCAAAAAATTTCTTGAATAAACACAGGTAAAAAAAAAAAAAAACGAGCAAAATAACAAAAATAATTATTGAAAAGATTTGGGGGAAAACAATCTGTAAATACAGCATGCAAAATCTCCAAATCATCCACAGATATGAGTGTGAGTGGTTTTTTTTTTTTGTTTTGTTTTGTTTAGTTGGTTTTTTTTTTGTTTTTTGTCCGTATGTGCCCTGCAATTGGCTGGCGTCCAGTCCAGGGTGTACTCCAATTCTCTCTGCCAAATTCAGCTGGGATAGGCTCAAGCGATATTAAAAAAAAAAAAAAAAAAAAAAAAAGGGATGGATATATGATTTTGAATCATACTCCATGAATTCAATTGCATTGCCAATTGCCTGTTACGGGTGACTTCATGTTGTCACCTGACTGCTCCACTGATTAAGTGCGTGTGATTCCGGCTCGCTGTATAAAGGTCACCCGTGTGTTGCTTATGGTGCAGAATGTCTCAGTTGTCACCAAAAGTTAGCTTCACCGACGCATCTTTTTCACACCGAATATTGTGATACCAATGAAGTGTTTTGTACTTCAATAATTTTTTTTTAATTGCCTAAAGATATACACTTAAATCGAAATACCATTCTAAGTAATTAAGCGATTACCATCTTCTGCCCCTTCAGGCCATCATGGGAATTAAAAATTAGATCGTAACAACATGACTGTCAATGTTTTCAATGTTTATGTGTTTTGTGATTTTAATTGACATTTCCAAGCAAATTCGTTGCCTGAGACATGACTGAATTCAATTTTGCCCACTTTAAAATGGATCTCCATTTGTGGCACTTACTGATATGAAGTTGGATTCTTTCGAAGACCGATGACCGACCTACGCTCCCGTGTTTTGACCAAAAGAGGAATGTAGTAAAAAAAATAAATAAATCTGAAAAAAAGTGAAATAAATGTCAAGTAAAGTTGCCATGCTGTTTGGCTGCCTGTTTTCCAGTGAACTGTCATATGTTTTCAAGAATTTTCAATGATGTGATTGGTATTTGTCTGCCATGTTGGAAGTAGAGATCGGAAGGACAAGTTCATTTTCATTTCCCTTCGCATTTCATTCATCCATCCCCCCCCCCCCGGCATTAACAGCCATCAGTTAATATCAAGCTATGTTGTAAAATTTCCAATCGACTTCAATTTGATGAGTGATAAAAAGAAACTTTGTATGCGGTGTCAAAGACACAATACAGTGACAAAGTGGCGATTACAAACACCTACAAGTATGTTTTTGACCGGTTAAATTTTGGTCATTCTGGTTATTGCTATTGTGTAAGGTGGCAGTTTTTGTTTGTTTTTCTTAATAACTGACCATATGAGTCACTTATGCACAAAATATGCGTGACTTACCATTCTTGATACACGTACGATACAGCAAAACAAAGTAGTATTGAATGTCTTGATGTGCTTTCGTTTGTCAGTCAAACACTAGAGAGGCAAAACCAACATTAGCCAGGCATACACGTGCTACCTTGGAGGATTCACGCTGGTGCACCAAAGGCTGCGCGGAGGCCTTCTTTACTTAGTTGCGATGAACAGAGCCGACTTCTCCACGCGAGTCCTGTCAGCTGCGCTTCCACACAGTCCCCGCGGGGCTCCCGAAAAAATCCAAAGTGAAATCTCACACAGAGTCCTGTCATCTTGTCTTCATCCCTCGTGGCGGAATCGCTACTTTCTGTGGCTATCTGCCGCTTGATGCTATGCTACGTCTCGCTTTCAGGCCTCTTGTGCCCCAGTTTCCCCCCTTTTTTCAATTTATTATTTCTTTATTATTTTTTTTTAGGTTGAGTCTCATTCTCCAAGGCTGCAGGTGCACCAGTTTTGTTTTGCTTTCCAACTCACCAGTTAATAGCTACTGAGCAGGTATTGTATCATCCACATTGGATACTATACCTGTTCACAAGCAGGCTACTATCATACACGATGAAATTAAATTCACATTTCGGATTGATTTGTGTCGAAAGTGGTGTAGAGAGAGAAGAAGCCACAATACAAATTAAATGCTAACGCAACATGCTCAGGAGTCTCCATGACAATGATACAGTAACGATTCTGTTGATGTTTTCTACTAAGATGGCGCTGCTCATATATTGATGAAGGATTCCACAAGCACAATATAAATCATTCAGAATACTGTGTTTCGACAGGTGGGGACACCCAGAACATATCGCAAAGAAAATGTTGCCGTGAGTTCCTCTTTAAAGGGGAAGTCAACCCGATTTTTTTTTTTTTTGATGCACATCCACTAAATGTGGGATTATTTTTGTATTTGTGGAATATGAGCAAAGCAGCAAAATGCGACCATTTTTCCTCTGTTTGTCAACCGAAAATGGCATCATAAGTGGCTCAGGGAACAACCAATCATGGCTGATTCCTGAAGCTGAGTGGCAAAATGGCCGCCCCCTGAGATGTACAAAAACAAGTTTTCATTGCTTAACTCATATTCCACAGACGCAATATTAATCAGAATGCCGTCTTTAGATAAGTCGGGCTACACACAACATATAATTGTAAAGAAAATTTGGGGGTGGACATCCCCTTTAAGGTTAAATACAGGCTTTGTGATTTTAATGACGCTATTTGAAAGTATAATTGCATCTTACTGTTGAAGATAACAAGAAGGAAACCTACCAGAAGTCGATTTGAAGGGATAAAGAATAAAGGGTAAAGCTTCACGAGTGTTCTGTGGTGTGTCTATGATGGTGTCTGTCTCCAGTGATTATTTGAAGTCATCAAAAGGCAGAATAGCGCCTGGAGAAAGCGACTCGTGCGGTGCAGGGTCAATGGATGGATGCAGTCAGCTCGCCATTATGTTACACAAAGTCATTTGAACTCTCTTTCTCCCTCCGTGTTGATCTTTAGTTTAGCTCCACAGATGCATTCTACCTTTATTGAAAAGGCCACCCTCGGCCATTTTACACCAGCGCAATGATTATAGATGTAACCCATGGCGAAAAAAAACAAAAACAAAACTCCCACACCACTGCTGTGCCATTTTTCTCTTTCCTCAGCCGCCCTTCTGTCTTCCCCCTGCCTCTTCCTCAGGGGCTGATTTCAAATTTTCAAAGACAGTGGAGAGACTGAAGGCTCATTAATATCTTTGTTTTAATATAATGGCCACAGATTTCCGAGGAAGTATTTCTAGCGGAGAAATTTGTTCATTGGTATGATGAATGTCCAGACAGACCTTTGGCTTTACATATTCGTTCACGGACAACCTGGGGTGGCATACTGCCTCACAAATTGACACTCGCTATTTGGATAATGTAGAGGAAATAAAAAGTCTGTGTTCCCGAGTGTGGATCATAATAAGAAATATTGCATGACAACAAATATCATCATGTGAGAAAAAAAATAATGTAATGAGAATACGGTCGTACATTGCCAAAGAAAAAACTTACAAAAATTACAAGGAACACATTGTGACATTGTAAGAATAATATAATTCAACAGAAACAAGTCGCATTAAAATGTAAGTCTGTATTGAGAAAAACATCATAATGATATGAAGAATAAAAATCTGAATATTATGAGTAAAAACTTGTGAGGTTCCAAGAATAAGGCCATTATGTGACAAGAAAAAAGTCTTAATGTTAAGAAAGAAAGCCAAATGGTCATGAATGAAGTCCAACTGTGAAAACAAAGTGTTAATATTACCGGTACATGAAATACATAGAGAATTATGGCATTTTTAAAAAATATATATATTACAAGGAAAAAGCTGCAATGCTGCAAGAAAAAAAATGTGGGCCCTACTTTCATGCTCAGTGCAAGTCTAACGCAAAGTTTTCTTTCTTTTGGTATTTTCCTTGTCGGGTGCAGGTCGAAGGGGGCATTGACACAATTGTGGGAGTGAACGCAGCCAACTTGTTTGTCATCCAACGAAAGCGGCTCCCCTCATTTCTTTTAAATTCGGCCGAGAGACAGGCACGCGGTCTACATGGAATTTAACATTTAAAAGGAACTGCAAAAAGATCTCCACCTGTGGAAGATGAAGTGGGCATTTGGAGACTACCTACAACTCCCGATCATGTGCATCCGAGTGTGACAACCACCGCTCCCCGCTACCCAAAGTGTGCCGTGGTCCTGGGGAGCGAGAATTCCCAAACACGGTGAACCTGATTCGCTCGTCATGGTGCAAGACGTTGCAAAGTTACAGCAATTGTACTTGGCAATGAGAAAAAAAAAGTGAAGTTACGAGAATAAAGTTGCCAACATTTTCTTTACAATATGTCCAGTTGTCTCAATGCAGCATTTTGATGAATAATGCAAATCCAGCCATCTTCATCCATCTCAAGGGGCGGCCATTTTGCCACTCGCTCTCGACAGAAAATGACATGACAGCGCTGACGGTCTCAGCTTGGTCG